TCTGCCCAGTGTGCCTTTGTTGCCTATATTTTTTTATAACCTTTTTTTTTTATCTACAAAGAACAAGTATAGACGTCAAACCAAGTTCTCTCCATGAAGGAGTGGTGCGACAGGCATCACAGAATAGATTGTAACTGAATTAGGCCATATACTGAAATGATTAGACTTTTTTTTTGTGTTCAATCTGTCATTAGCACAATTAGGTACTTCTCGATTATAAATAATCACTGAACATTTTTCAACAGAGAGAAGTTAATTGCATAAGAAAAATGGCTCACACCATGACAGCCTATGCCTTCTTTCCAAATGATTAACAGTTATAGGCAGAAAACTGGCGGCAGAGAATTTTTTAGCGGTTTACTTATTGACGCGAGTCGGGCATATAAAAACTCTTGCCCCTGCTTCCATAGGTGTATCAGCCGGGGGGGGGGGGGGGGGGGGGGTCAAGTCTGAGAAAAGTTGGGGGGGGGGGGGGGGTCTGAGTTCCCCCTCCCCACATTTGACAGTGGTCACTGTCGCTGCCCGCTGAGGAAACCAACAACTAAGGAAGTTTTCCTTCACCCCAGTAACCACTCAAATACATTGTTACGAGGAAATGAAAATGTTACCAGGGAATGTTTTAATATAAAAAATGTTTTCCAAAATTTATGCTGCGACGATTGTCCTTAAAGGTTCCTTGCGGTGCGATACTGAAGCTACATCCGATGTTAACCGGACATGACGTGCATCTGTACAGTAGCAGTAAATATGGAATATTTATCTCCTTGTTATAAATTTAGATAGCTAGCATAGTAACTATAATCACTTTGCACCAACTTGATGTCTCCACAGTACCTTTACCAAAGCTGACTCAATACCTTGCGTGGTTCTTTAATAGAACCACGCAAGGTATTGCGTGAACCACGCAACTCATATATATATATATATGAGTTGTCCAATTATATATACATATATATATATATATATATATATATATATATATATATATATATATAAGCTGACGAGTGAGGTAGGTTGTTTGCTTCCCCCACTCGCGAAAGAGTTTGTACGCTACTGCCTGCTTCGTACATGCTCTTTTGCCACTCTAGCCGTGAAACGCATCATCATATGGCCGGTCGTGGAGACACTAATCTACGAGGCTTTCATTGTCTCAGAACATTCATACATGCTCGCGGCGATACCAAGCACTCCAAGCACGTCTAAATTGCATCAAAAAAGCTTATTGACAGCCCTCCATATGACCGTGCAGTATGCGGCCGCGTGGACAGCGCAGCCGGTGCGTGGTGCACTTGCCGGCGGCATGCGGTGACAATATGCGAAATGTGTACCTACGATGACAAAAAACTAGGGCGAACTGCGCTTGGTGTCGCATTTTCGAATGCCGATGCGTGAAACTGGTAGCCACTGTTCCGAGCAATCCTTGGCAGTGGAGGGGGGGGGGGGGGAAGGGTTGAGGAGCTTGACAGTGGGGTCTGCTGCCGATGCGTAAAATGCCCGTCCGTGGTTATGAGGAGCTAGCAAGTGATGTGCTTCGTTGCTTGTGAAGAAGCACGTTGCCACGAGTGCTCTAGCACGTCGTTCTTGCCTGCAGTCTCGCCGTCAGCAGAGTTTTGGCCTAAAGATGACTCCAATGACACGCCGCGCTCACACATCGCGTGCCCGCCGCTCCTAGTATTCTGATCCTGCATCCATTTACAGCTCTTAACTAAAGTGCAATTCTTGATTGATTGATGTGCGGGGCTTAACGTCCCAAAACCACGATATGATTATGAGACGCCGTAGTGGAGGGCTCCAAAAATTTCGACCACCTGGGGTTCTTTAACGTGCACCCAAATCTGAGCACATGGGCCTACAATATTTCCACCTCCATCGGAAATGCAGCTGCCGCAGCCAGGATTCGATCTCGCGACCTGCGGGTCAGTAGCCGAGTACCTTAGCCACTAGACCACCGCGGCGAGGCAAAGCGTAATTATATATCCTAAGTGATCATCGAGCCCGTGAACACGTCATGAAGTAGCGATTTTTGACAGCCATGTCCTCGCAATGCACAAGCAGCAAACGACTATCTCCCGGAGCGAGCATCAGGCCAATGGCGAGGCGAGCTGGGGAATTGTGACCAGCTGAGGCAGAGGAGCCAGCTGAGGCAGGAAATTTGAACACAGAGAAACGCTCATTCCGATGAGCCCAAGACGGCTCTCGACTGCGCCCTCGCGAAGCTATAATTTTTTGGAAATCGATGCTTTCTCACCATTTCCAGAAGAAGTTTCGCTACCTAGGAGGGTGAAACGAATTTTTTGAGACCCTTCCGCACGGTTTTCAGTGTAGATATTTTAGAATCGGATAGAAAAAGGGTTCCAGAAACTGAAAACTTGATTTTTAAAAAATCGATTTTTTTTTTGCCATTTTTCGCGATACCAAAGCCACGTCCGCCCTTAACTAGAGATACAGTGTTCTGTGAACTGTACCAGTAAAGCGACAAGCGCATTGCTAGTTGTGTGCACCACTGCAGCATTATTAGCAACTTTCTGTTGTTATTGTGGTTGTTTTCCTGTCGTAAGTATAGGTTGCGCACGTCTTAGTCTGAAGTTAAAAATTTATTATGCTTATATTTACAATCTTGGATGACTAAAATGTGGTTTTGCCTGCTTATTCTTGGCACCTAATATGCACTTTTTTAATGTTTAAGAATTCAACCTCGACTGAACACCAGGTTTGAGATAGCTCGCACGCTGATAGAAATCTTTTATTCCTCATCAATTAGCAAAGTTTTTTACAGCTGTAATCACCTAGAAAACACAGCTGTCACCGAGTGCAGTTCTCTGAAAATGTTGTGACATGCTAGCATCCCTTTTGCTCCTTCATCTAAGAGTGACTCCATCCTCCAACAGTCACAGCTGTGGAAGCCTCAACAACCGATAATTATACCCAGGTTTTATAAAAAAATAAGATTACAGAACAACCAAGTAAGATTAGAAAATTTTTATCTAATCCACCAGAGGACAGCCGAAAATATGTGATGCATTTTCCTCAAAATCCATCATAAGGCATACTCTGGTCAATCTGCTTTTATGGTACAGTGACATGAACCTGGTTAGCCAAGACTTAACAAAATTTCGCTGCGAAGCTGGCCAGTACATGAGGTGGCCAGGGTCCTGAGCTGTTTAATGCAGCTTTTTGCCTGAGAATCCTAGCAACGTTATTGTCAATAAACTCAATTCGAATTCAAATAAAGAAAGCAATATGCTTACCCTAAATGCTTTTTAAAATTTACAAGCGAGTGATCAGAGTTTATTGTAGTGAACAGCCCACCGATTTCTACCATCTAAATCAATGTATACGAGTTCTTGCTTTTAGGACTTGGCAAGCTGCTTACGCGGAGCCTTGCCTCCGGTACTCTTGCGCGCGGTTTGCTTTGTGCGGGCCATGGTGCGTCCGATCACCTCGACTGACGGCGCAAGAATGCCGAAGCAAAGCACCGTGATTCGCCGCACGACCCATCTCTCTCCCTCCCATTGGCCCACGCTTGAGAACCCGTCCGCGTGCGAGCGCGGCAGCATTCGCCAGGATGCTGGCTGGCGCTCATTTTCGGGCAACCGCGCAGTTCGCGGCTGCAAAGAGGTACAGGCCAAAAAAGCTGGGAATCAAACCCATTCTCACAGAGCTTGGCAATGTTGCAACTTGCATAATAATCTACTATGAGATAACAGGTATACTAGAATAAAGAAGTTCAAGTAGCATCTCAGCTTCTGGTTAAGATTAAAAGTACAAGATCAAATTCTGCAAGAACCAAAAGGTCGTGTCACAAAACAGTATAGAGGCTAAATCTCATTTGTCATGGGAAAAACGAGATGGCAAGTTTCGTGCTTGGTTGACAGAGCAGGAACACAGAGAAAGTGTACACCACATTTTGCCCAAAACCTTTCAAAGATAGATTACATATACAACGCTTTACGAGGTTTATTCAACCACAAGCAGCCACGACAAATTCCAAGGCTCTTGTGTTCCTCTGAGCATTTCGTCGCTGTTACCTTCAATCCACAGTCTTGCGACAGAAATGGATGGTGAAAAATTAAAAAATGTTCAAAATACATATGCTATATAAAATGAAGACAAATTGACTGAAAGGCCCTTGTTTATTATAAACGTTTGCACGAAGCCAAGGAACGAGGCCGAATTTGTTGTAGTTGTAATAATCCTGAGAAAAAAATTAATGTAGACAAAAAACTAATAATACTATGCACTAATACTAATATTAAATTCAATTAGTTTGCCAATGACTAATAATTAAGCTATTAGGTATGCAAAATGAATTTGTAGTCAGCAGCAAAACTTTAGAAACCATGAAATCGTGAAACAAAAACCAAAATTTTCTTTACGCGCAGCCTTCCAATCTAGAATTTGCTCAATGTACTGCTCTGGTCAGATGGGCTCACGGGGCTACATCACTTTAAATTTCAGCTAACAGATTGTAAAGTAGTCAAAGCTTTTCATTCACTGTGTGGTCACTTTACTTTGGTTGCACACACAAATACTAATTATAGCAATAGACTTGTGCATAAATAATTTTATTTGTAATCAATCGAATTTCGTGGGGTAATCTTGTAATTCCTCAGTCTTTAATACTCAGTAACGCTGATGTAGTTTTTTAAACCTTGTATTAGAGTTTTTTAAAGCTTGCATTAACCTTGCATTATTCGAAAAACAAGCAGCAATGTAGGGTGCAGATCTGATAACTTCCGTACTGAAGCGAGAATAAAAAATTTTGTAGAAATGAGGCTGGTGGAAGTCCACAGCGTTGATGGCAAGACAGTGAACACCTGTGGTCTTGAATTCAAATCGTCCAAAGGGATGAAAACATGTACGGTGGACATCCTGCCTATAATCAGCACGTTGCAGCTATGCCTCATATCCCTAAATGTCACAAGAAAGGATATACATAGGTATCACACATGTCACTGTTTGATAGCAATGAAAACATTAATGAGAAAGTGTATTCTCACCAGGGTTTGGTGTAACAGGGGGCACCTGTGGCTGTGGAGTAGTAGGTGTGGGGCGTCGAGAGGATGGCAAAGCATTCTGAGGGATGAGGGGCAACCCACCAACACCTGGTGGCGCTTGCGACCCTTTGGGCCGTTGCCGGGGAGCTACCGACGTGCCCTCTGCTACTGGTACCTGCAATGATCTACATAAAAACCAAATATCAAGGCAAAGGGAGCTTCCACCTGTACAATAGGCTGAGCTAGTCCTGCTTTAGCAAAAAAGTAGCAATGATAAAACCCTGCTGCTCAAAATGCACATTGTTAAGCGGTTTATTGACGGACACTCAGCAATGATTCACGACAGCGACAGTCAATGCGGGGATCGACTCTCTGCACGAGCTGCTCTTCTTAAGAAAAGGGCAACCCACTAGAAGGCGCTGAAGAGGATGACCCACTGTTCAAAGGCTTCACCACAACTACCCCGGGTACGAAAAGGGAGCCGCCTGGCGACCTAACAGCTGGTTACAATGAGCGGGTCATGGTAGGCCTTGAGGCGCTCCACGTTAACAATGTCGCGTCCTCGACGACGCATGTCCGAAGATTGTTCGATGGGTTCAATCAAGTAGTTGACTGGGGAAGTGCATTTGACGACACGGTAGGGGCCTTCGTATTTAGGCAATAGTTTTGAAGATAGGCCAGTTGCAGTAATAGGGATCGAGAGCCAGACGAGCGCTCCAGGGAGGAATGTGGGTGCAGTAGTACTGGCGTCAGCGCGAATGCTTTTTTGCCGCTCTTGATCATGCGCAGTAAAGGTCTTTGCAAGCTCTCGACATTCTTCAGCAAGCTTGGCTGTAGCAGAAATAGGTGCCCACTCAGACGGATCTGGCCTGTACGGAAGTATCGTGTCGATGGTGTGTGACGGGTGCCTTCCATATAATAAAAAGAAAGGTGAAAAGCCAGTAGTGCTCTGAGGGGCGGTATTATATGCGTAGGTGACGAAGGGTAGAATGGAATCCCAATTTGTGTGATCGGCGGCGACGTATTTGGAGAGCATGTCGCCCAGCGTACAGTTGAAGCGTTCTGTGAGGCCATTCGTCTGTGGGTGGTAAGCAGCAGTTTTGCGGTGAACAACGTTGCACTCTTTGAGAATGGCTTGAACGACTTCAGACAGGAAGACACGGCCTCGGTCACGGAGCAGTTCCTGGGGTGGGCCGTGTCGCAGAATGAATCGTTGGAGCAGAAAGGAAGCCACATCGCTCGCTGTAGCCGCGGGAAGAGCGGCCGTTTCGGCGTATCGCGTGAGGTGGTCCACAGCAACAATGGCCCAGCGGTTACCAGCCGACGTTAGTGGAAGTGGCCCATACAAATCGATGCCAACACGCCCAAACGGCCTGGCAGGGCAAGGTAGAGGTTGCAGACCTACCGGCGACAGGTGCGTTGAAGTTTTGCGGCGCTGACATTCTATGCAGGAGCGAACGAATTTCTGCACGGAGCGGTACATGCCGCGCCAAAAGTACCGTTGGCGAATGCGGTGGTAAGTCTTCGATACCCCGGAGTGCGCACACTGCGGATCAGAATGGAAGAATTCGCATATGTCAGAGCACAGACTGCGAGGTATGACTAGTAGCCACTGGCGGCCGTCACCGTTGTAATTGCGTCGATGGAGGAGGTCGTCGCGAACGGCGAAATGGTGGGCTTGACGACGCAACGCGCGAGTGGATGGAGTGGATGGATAAGTCAGCAAGTCTATCATTGAGGCAATCCATTGATCCTTGCGCTGTTCAGTAGCAATAGCATGAATGCTAATCGAAGAAATGGCAAGGTGAGACACTGAGTTGTTGGCATTGTCGTCAGGCAAGGGAGAGCGCGACAGGGCGTCGGCGTCAGCATGTTGCCTTCCATTGCGGTACAGCACGGGGATGTCATAGTCTTGCAGGCGAAGTGCCCACCGGGCAAGACGGCCTGAGGGATCTTTCAATGACGACAACCAGCATAGTGCGTGGTGGTCGGTGACGACATCAAATGGGCGACCATACAAATAAGGTCGGAACTTTGCAAGGGCCCAGACGATTGCCAAACATTCTTTCACGGTGACTGTGTAATTAGTCTCGGCTTTAGTAAGCGTACGGCTCGCGTACGCCACGACATATTCCGGGAACCCTGGTTTGCGCTGCGCAAGGACAGCGCCGAGGCCGACACCACTGGCATCCGTGTGTACCTCTGTAGGGGCCGTAGGGTCGTAGTGGCGGAGTATGGGAGGCGACGTCAACAAACGACGAAGTGTTCTGAAAGCGTCGTCGCACTGTGATGACCACGAATGGAGAGGCCCGTTACTTCCGAGAAGCTTCGTCAGCGGCGATATGATAGTCGCGAAGTTTCGAATGAAGCGCCGAAAGTAGGAACACAGTCCTACGAAACTGCGCAGTTCCTTCACGGATGTCGGCTTGGGGAACTCTGTCACGGCCCGAAGCTTGGTTGGATCAGGGAGAATTCCGTCCTTGGACACAACGTAGCCGAGGATTGTCAGCTGCCGAGCTGCAAATTGGCACTTCTTTAGGTTCAGTTGCAGACTGGCGTTTCTCAGACGCGTTAAAACTTGCCGAAGGCGTTGAAGGTGCGTTGAGAAGTCAGGAGCGAAAATGACGACGTCATCGAGGTAGCACAGGCATTTGTGCCATTTCAGGTCACGCAGAACTGTATCCATCATGCGCTCAAAGGTGGCAGGTGCATTGCACAGCCCAAACGGCATAACGTTAAACTCGTACAAGCCGTCGGGGGTGACAAAAGCGGTCTTTGGTCGAGCGTCCTCAGCCATAGGTACTGGCCAGTACCCTGAGCGCAAATCGAGGGATGAAAAGAATTCTGCTCCTTGCAGGCTGTCAATCGTGTCATCTACCCGCGGTAGTGGATACACGTCCTTACGAGTGATCTTGTTGAGGCGTCGGTAGTCCACACAGAACCGCACAGAACCGCACAGAACCGTCCTTCTTCGTGACGAGAACGACAGGAGATGCCCAGGGGCTGCTAGAGGGGCGAATAACATCGCGGCGAAGCATGTCGTCGACTTGCTCGTTGATTACACGGCGTTCTGTGGGAGATACGCGATATGGACGTTGCCGCATCGGTGGCTGTGCGCCTGTGTCGATGCGATGCGTAACGGTGGATGTGCGGCCGAGAGAAGGTTGAGCGACATCGAAAGAAGAGCGGAATTCTTCCAACAGGCCCAAAAGCTGGGAACGCTGGCCCTGCGTAAGGTCGTCGGGTATGCAGGGACCGAATATATCATCAAATGATGAAGCAGAAGTTGAAACAGCACCAAGCGTACAGGAACTTGGGCAGTGCATGTCATCGGGTTGATCCATAACTTGCGCGTCTTCAATGGGTTCCACGCTGCCGAGACATTCTCCTTGCACCAACGTAACGCTGTACGGAGATGAGTTCACAACAAAAATAGTGGTGCTGCCGTGAGTGAGTTGCACGGTCGCGAAAGGAACCAGCAAGCTTTTTCTTATAAAAACACGATGAGATGGCGAGAGGAGTGCAGCGGTGTCAGAAAGGCTTGCGCAGTAGAGCGACACCGCAACGGACGAGTTTGCAGGCACTTGAGTGTCGTCTCTGACGAGTAACTTGCTTGCAGCGGATGGACTGTCGGCCGGCGTCAAAGAAGAGAATGGCGCGAGTTCTATTTCTGCTGGTGCGCAATGAATGACGGCGTCGTGGCGGGAGAGAAAATCCCATCCTAGGATGACGTCGTGAGAGCATGAAGAAATTATGATGAATTCGACCGCATACATCACGTCCTGAATCATTAGGTGGGCTGTGCACATCGCTGTAGGGTGAATGCTTTGGGCGCTGGCTGTACGGAGGGAGAGCCCGCAAAGCGGCGTGGTCACTTTGCGCAGTAATCGGCAAAGTTTTTCGTCCATCACGGATACGGCGGCTCCAGTATCTACAAGGGCAGATGCACGAACGCCATCCACAAGCACGTCTATCACGTTCGACGGGCTTTCCTGAGGGCTTCCGCAGTTTGACAGCGTCGCAGCCCTTGCCTCGTGGACTGCGACGACTAGTTTTCCTGGTCGCCCTCGAGTGGACGTGGCCGCATCGGTGACAGTGAGCGACGTCGTGGAGATGGTGAACGGCGGGTAGACGGAACGGGGCGGGACGACGGTGACATAGGCGGCGGTTGGTCATAAGAGCGGCTTGACTGGCTGGGAAAGTTGGAGGCGACCTGCGGTTGCTGCACACGATTGCAATATCGTGCCACATGACCGACGCAACCGCAAGCAAAGCAGATGGGGCGATTATCAGCAGTGCGCCATTGGTTTGCTGGTCGCATCCATGTCGCAGAACGCGATTGGCGAGCCGGCTGCTGATATGAGTGCATGGTAGGCGGCACTCGGGGCACGTGGCTGACGCCGGCGTATGTAGGCGAGACAGGTTCTCCAAAGGCCTGGGGCCTCGCGACGGTGTCGGTGTAATTTAGCGGAACAGTGACAGAAACCGGTGGGGGCGGCCTGGCAACAACTTGGGCGTAGCTGAGTGGCACAGATGCAGGAGGTGGCTGGTGGTATTCAGGGACGACCTCCGCGATTTCCTGCTGAATGGCTCGGCGGTGCGGAGGTAGAAGTGTACTTGGTGGCTGTTGAGCTGGTTGTGGGGAAGCAAAAGCCAGTAGAGAGACCTGGCGGGCAACTTCCTCACGCACGAACGACTTGATTTCGGCGAGCAAGGTTGCGTGGTCTGGAACTGCTGACAAGGCCGAGAGATCAGCATCACGTGGTGGCGGGCGACGGGTCATCAAGCGCTGCCGCCGCAGCTCGTCGTAACTTTGGCATAACATGATGACTTCTGCCACAGTGCGGGGGTTCTTTGCCAGAAGCATGGTGAAGGCATCGTCGGCGATGCCTTTTAGAACATGCGTGATTTTGTCAGCCTCTGGCATGTTCAGGTCGACTTTCTTGCACAAGTCAAGGATGTCCTCGATATAACTTGTGAAGGACTCACTGGTCTGCTGGGCTCGTTCACGTAAACGCTGTTCAGCTTGCAGCTTACGAACAGCAGGGCGGCCAAATACGTCGACGACAGCGGTTTTAAAAGCGGACCATGTCGGGAAATCAGATGCGTGGTTGTTGTACCACATGCCGGCCACACCCGCGAGATAGAAAAACAGGTTGCCGAGTTTACCTGCCTCGTCCCAATG